AGAATGAGACTCTATAGGAAGTACTACATGAAGGAAGAAGCCATCCCAGGGACAAGAATTAAGTGTGACCCAACATTCACACCCACCTGGAGCTGCGTGGCATAATGCCCCAGCTTGATCTTCAGCAAAAACCCATCTTCCCCCACCTGGTGCTCCGCCTTCTTCTGCAGCTCCTGTACCAGGCCCTCCAGGAGCTGGGTGGCCTTAATATTCTCCTGTGGATTATCAAGATCTATTGAGTCCCTAGGGGAAAAAAATTACATAAAATGTATACATACATGCACAAGAGCCTGTAAAATGCAGCCTCTACACATCAAGTCTTTCTTTGACTAAAATGATTTCTTTCCTTTATTTCTGGGCTTGGAACCAGAACATGCTAGGCAAGTGCTCTACCATTGAGGCACTCAGCCCTAAAGTGATTTCTCCTTAACACTTGTGGCAAATGTTAAGAAACAGCTTAACACAAATTGACTAAATGCCTACATTACTCTATTCACAATCTTCTAATTACCCTAGTGGACTGTACAGTATTTTCATTTCTTCTTCTCCTTTTTTTTTTAAAACTATGTACTGCCCCTCTCCTTTTTGCTACTGACTGGCTCTGGTGCTAATGCTATCTACTCCTATAAACAAAAGGAAAAGGAACATGCTTCGCATTCTCTAAAGGAAATAAGGGCTCTGATAATTTCCTATTTATAGTCTTCTCAAGGGTGTGAAGGGGCACAAGGTCAAGACTGTCCTACATGTCCTTCCCAGCCTTAACCAGTTCCATGACCATGTTGCAAATTCCACAGGTAGTATTTCTTAGAGACAGGTGAAGGAATAATACTGCTCTTTCTAAGGAGTCCTGGAAATGAAGTAGAAGATGCCTAGCATTTACACAGGCGAGACATTTGTATCACTAGTTGCAGATCTGGGACTTTAGGCAATGCCAACTTTTCCAACAAACAAGTGAAACCAGTTTACAGACTTTATATTAATTCAGAGCCATTTAACTGGTGATAGGTGTTGGACGGTCTCACTCCCTCTCTTCTTTCTTTCCTTTTTCCTTTATTTCTAAAACTTAAGCAACAATTGCTACTGGGTAGTACCAAATTTCTTAGCCTGCTGAAGAAACTGAACAGCTGTCAGACTGAAATAACATCCAATTACTGCTGACCAGTCTGGAGCCAAACAAGTGATCTAGTGGTAGCTAAATGGCTCTGTCATCTCCTAATCTCTGACGTTACAACTAATTTCAAACAGAGACACAAACATGTGTATCAAAACATTGAGACTTTCAGAATAAAAAAAACAAAACATTGAGACTATCTCATCAAAGAGCATACCCAAACATGCACTGGAGAAGTCAGTAAAGAAAGCCAAATTTTAAATATATATGCTCTATGAATTAAGTATAATATATATTAAATAAAAACCTGTAAGGATTGAGGCAATGATGCTTCTTGTTTGGGAACCCATGCTTGAGTGGATCCCATCTGAGCAAAACTCTTGGAATTCTGACACTGGTTCTTAATGTTCCTGCTAATAAAGAGATTTGCATGGATGGTTTCAACATGAAGAACTGAAGATTTTTCATTAAAATCTTCACATCTTCTTTTTTTTTAATCAGGGATTGAGCCCAGTGACACTTAACCACTGAGCCACATCTCCAGTCCTTTTTAATATTTTAATGAGGCAGGGTTTCGTTAAGTTGCTTAGGGCCTCACTAAGATGTTAAGGCTGGCTTTGAACTCTTAATCTTCCTGTCTCAACTTCCGAGCTGCTGGAATTACAGGCGTGTACCATGGCACCGAGCTAAATCTTTATCTTTTTAAGAAAACCAAACTACATATAATTCAGATATTCCTTAATCAACACAAATCTTTTAGAACTTATCAGTAAGCAAATTACATGAGAAATCTACTAAAGGAAAGCTTATTTGCTTTTTGAGACAAGATCTCACTATGTTGCCCAGGCTGGTCTTGAACTCCTGGGCTCAAGTGATCCTCTTTGGAGCAGCTAGGACCATGGCCTGTTATCACTGAGCCAGGCTAAATGAAAAAAAAAAAAAAAAAAAAAAACAGGGCTGGGAGTTGTACCCAGGGCCTTGCACACGATGGATAAGTGTTCAACCACTAAGCTACACCCCCTAAATGAAATTTTAAATCAGCAGAAACTTTCTACTAATGTTTTTTAAACCCTCCAAATCATTAAAACAGAAAAGAAAATGAAAAGGGAATGGAAAAGCACTAAACAAGGTGCACCTGACATTCTCATATTTAGCAGGTGTTTTTTCCCTCACTTAATTACATGAAGCTGAGATTTTTTTTTAAATTGCCTAGAAAATTGTCTGCCTTTGGTGCTCTCTGGCTTCTGAACAGAAATCTGCTACTAACAATAATTTGCAATTGCAAATTATTCCATGGCAATAGCACTGATTGGAAATACAGCCATCTTCCAACAGTAGCATCAAGGCTGGCTTCTACTGAGGTCTGTCAAAGAGGACCCCTGGCTACAATGGAGAGGCCGAAACCATTTAGAGAATACCTCAGATCCACTGACAGAACCCCTGCTTCAGAGCAGAGCGGAGCTCAACCTGCTGCCAGTGTGTAATAACACTGTCACTTAAAGAAACTAAAGAGCTGGTGGTGCAGCTCAGTGGTGGAGCACTTGCTGAGCACGCAGGAGGTGCTGAGTTGGCCCCAGCATTACAGAAGACAAACAAAAGAGCTGCTTTGTCAGTCGACTATACTGCACCAATTCTAAAGGAATTTTAGGATGATGCAAGTATATAACCAATAATTTGGGAAATAAAGATATAAATGCTTGTTAAATCCACTGAAATGTAATTTCTATTAATATTTTGGTATATTTCCTTTTAGATTTATGCATTTATGTGTAAAATACATATGAATGAAAAACACCAATGTATTTACCATTAAATTAGTTATCTGCCCCATCAAACACTAAATTCTGTGGGGCAAGGACTTTCATTTCTTCCAACAAATGCTGCTATCTACAACAATGCTGGCACCCTCAGGCACTCAAAACATATTAGTTGATTGCTATTTATTAGCAGCAATATGCTAATGTTTTTAGTAGTACTAACTATTAAAGGGAACAATGAATCCTGTTTTTAAATCCCAAGAGTTATTCCATCTCCCTAAATCAGATGGGATTAAATACCTTTTCATGGATAAAATAAAAAAAAATGTTTAAGCACATAACTTTTTAAAAAATTTTTTTGGTACTGGGGATTGAACTCAGGGGTACTCGACCTCTGAGCCACATCCCCAACCCTATTTTGTATTTTATTTAGAGACAGTCTCACTAAGTTGCTTAGTGCCTCACCACTGCTGAGGCTGGCTTTGAACTCACAAATTCTCCTGTCTCAACCTCCCAAGCCACTGGGATTATAGGTGTATGCCACCATACCCAGCCTTAAGCACATAACTTTTAAAGTCTCCACCATGAGATTTTTTCTAATCAAACTTTTTTCTCTTCTTTCTTTCTTTCTTTTTTTTTTTTTTTTTTTTTTTTGGTGGTGCTGGGGATTGAATCCAGATCCTTGCATGAACATTCCTCCACTGAGCTACTCCCTCAGCCCAAACTCCAATATTCTGTGCTTCACAAAATATGACGTAAAAAGCATTGTTCACCTACCAAGCTTGGCTTTCAATCCACTGGGATAAATAATGCCGCACCTCAATGGGGAAATGCTGGCCATATAAGGCTTGCATCTGATGAAGGGCATCTCCTTGGAGCTGCTGAGCTTGTATCCACACAGCCATGGTTCACGACCTGTTAAACAAACAATCTGTGGTTTAGATGATTTTTTAAATCTACCAGAGTAAATATTCATATAGTTAAAATGCTAACACACTATTAGCCCTTTAGGTGGATTAAAGTGTTTTTTTTTTTTTTTTAATTTTGCTTACTGGGAATTGAACCCAGGGATACTCAACCACTGAGCTAGTTCCCAGCCTTTTCATTTTGAGACAGGGTCTCACTAAGTTTCTCAGGCTAGTCTTGAACTTGAGATCCTCCTGACTCAGCCTCCCCAGTAGCTGATATTACAAGCATGTGTCACTGAGCCTGGTTTTAAAAATCAGTATTCTTTAAGTGAATTTTAGCTTTAAAATGTTTTCAAAATGTAGACATTCAATGTGGTCTTGGGAAGGTAACCAATCAGCTCTGTGAATTCCTGCCTATAGATATACTGAGGTCCTATAAGTAAAATCACAAAGCAGCATTAGGGAAAGAAATGCCTATAACTTTGATATCATTACTTTTGTTCAAAATTGTCAGCAATGGTTAGCAGCATTTCAACAGTCATAAAAAAAATGAGCAGAAAGACTTTTTAAGAACCATTTTAGATTTGTTACTTTGGCTTTAAGAACTGAAATAAACATGCTACCATGTTGGAAGAGCCCAGTAAAAGAGAGCACACACATAATCCCAGCAACTCAAGAGGCTGAGGCAGGAGGATCTCAAGTTTGAGACCAACCTCAGCAACACAGTGAGACCCTAAGCAATTTAGCAACACCCTGTCTCAAAAAAACAAAAACAAAACAAGACAAAACAAAACAAAAGGTTGGGGATATGGCTCAGTGGTTAAGCAGCCTGGGTTCAATTCTCAGTACAATTAAAAAAAAAAAAAGTGTTCTCTGCTTCCTGATGTGATGTCCAGAGCTGCTTACTTCTGCCACACTCTTCAGCCATGATATTCTGCCTCACCATAAGCCCAAAGGAATGGAGATGGCCATCATGGATTGAGACCTTGGAAACTACTGCAGCTCCTTAAGGACAGAGGTTCCAATATCATCTAGTTCACTACTGCACTGAATAGCACCCCCCCACAACACATTGTCTCAAGAATACTTACATTCTGACCTTATTAAGGTCTTATAATAAGAAAATTTTAGCCCAGTTTTAAATAAGTACTTATACAAATGGTGTCACTGCACCATTTATTCAAGAAACTTGAATCAAGTCACATTAGTGTTCATTAAGGAAAAAAAAAAGTGAAAATATCTAAAGCACAGATGGAACCCTATGTATTATCACTAATTACAGCAACACAAAGACAAAGGATTATTTGATAAAATACCCCAAGGTTCACCTTCTGAGTTATTCCTACAGAACTTATGATGCAATATTCTGTTAAATTACATCTGGTAAAAATCTTCCACAAAAAAAGAATACATTTCAGCTAAGAGAAATGAGACTGAACCATCATATTCCAACAGTGAGTAGTTTTTTTAAACATGCTTTTTTTTAAATATAAAGAATACTCACTGCAGCATTCTTTAAAAAAAATTTGTTGTGTTGGACCTTTATTTTATTTATTTATATGCAGTGCTGAGAATCGAACCAGTGCCTCACACATGCTAGGCAAGTGCTCTACCACTGAACCACAATCCCATCCCCTTAAACACGCTCTTGATTTCAGAAAAAAAAAAAAAATGGCTCTCTAAAATTACCAGGATGCCTCCTCAGACTCACCTGAGATTTTTTTTATTATTATTTTATTTTTTTCTGGTACTGGGGGATTGAACCCTGGGGTGCTTAACCACTGAACCACATCCCCTGTCCTTTTTATGTTTTAAGACAGGGTCCTGCTAAGTTACTTAGGACCTTGCTCAATTGCTGAGGCTGGCTTTGAACTTGTGATCCTCTTGCCTCAGCCTCCTGAGTGATTGAGATTATAGGCAGGCACCACTATGCCCTGTTCTCACCTGAGAATTTTTTATGCATTCAGAAGAGACTCTCTGGGATTAATCAGATTGGAGCAGCAATGTTTTTACTTTATATAATGAAGGCCACTAAAACTGAATCTTGCTCTAACACTATTTTCCATAATGTAGAATCTGGGGTAAGACAGGGCTATCCTGAACCCCATCCAAGTGACCTGGCTACTGATTTGCACATTCTCCTAAGAACCTGTTACAGTTATGGTCCAGTGAATTGGACCTGGATTTTGTTGACTCCCAGAAATTGCACATGTATGTCAGGAAACGAAAAACCCTCCTGTTAGTTGTAGCTGTCTGATCGCGTAACACTGAGCTATTTATGGGACGAGTCAGTTAGCCAACAAAGAGGTGTGGGACGGGAGCCAGTTACCTATTTTAGACTTGTGCAATGCTATAGAACACTTGAACGGTGTACAATTTTATTTAGGGCTTTAAGGCTGGGATCACTGTAACATCACCAAAGACATCAAAGTTCAATGGCTGTGAGCGCACCATAAGAAAGACAAGGATAAAAGTGCTCTCTCCAAAAGTAATTCCTCTTTATAATCAAACATCTGGAAGATACTTAATTGTACAATATACCTTTTAATCAAATGAATCATAGCCCAAGAATTTGAAGAATCAGATAACAAATCAAGATTTTTGTAGGAAGGATAAAGCATGGAGGGATGAGAGTACTTATAAAAGTGGGGTGAAGGAGTAAAGAGTGAAGTCTTTCTTAGTGGTACAGAATAAAGCAGTGCAGGACCTTGCCCTAGCTCCCTTCATGAACATGAGAATGACACCCACACAAAAAATTCCCGCACCCATATTCATTAGCATACTGACCCAGAGACAAAAGAAGGAAAATGGTGGAAAAACCTTGATCTCCTCACAGATCCCCTTCCAGGCCACCCAAATAAAATAGTACCATGGCCACCTTCTGTGCTCTTACTCTGTTTTTCTTGTCATTTCCTCATTTCTTGACACGTATCATATTTTGCTTACCGACTCCCCCAAGGTTGAAATCACCGTGAACACAATGATTCTGTTTTGTTCACTGCTCTTTCTCTGGGGCCCAGAACAGCGCCTGATATATAAGCATAAACTTTTTGTCATGTTGTTGTTGCACAAATAAATGTATGCACATGATTGGGATAACCCTATCAGCTTTTTTCAAATTATTATGAAACAGGATATCAGGATGAAATACCAAGGCATGGAAATGAGACAGATTTCAATTTAACTGATCAATTATAATTTTATAATCTGAATGAGTCTATGTTGACAACGGTCTACTTGTTCCTTACTAACACTGGCCATCATTTGTAATTTTCCCTGTAGTTTTTGTTTATGTTCTCCCATTGAACTCTTAAGAGTAGTAAGTGAAGGGAGCCCATCTCATTCAGTGTGGTGTTCCCAGGACCCAGTGCAATGGGTCCATAAGTCCATAAGTGGTCCATAAGTCTTTGCTGTGTGAATAAATATATGAATAAATATTCATATGTGCTACTGGCCAAGGATATAACAGGAGCCTATTATTGTTTTAAGAAAGAAATACTATGGTGATAAGCTGGGTTTGTGGCTCAGTGGTAGAATGCTCGCTTAGCATGCATGAGCCACTGGGTTTGATCCTCAGCCTCACATAAAAATAAAATAAAGATATTGTGTCCACCTAAAGTTAAAAAATAAATATTAAAAAAAAGAAATACATAGGGGTGGGAGGGAAAGAGAGGGAGAAGGGGAATAGCAAGGATGGTGGAAGGGGATGGTCATCATTATACAAAATATATGTATGAAGATGTGAATTTGATGTCAACATACCTTATATAAAAACATTATGATAAATTGTGCTATAAAGGTATATTAAGAACTGTAATGCAAAAAAAGAGCTCATGTATAATGGCATAATTTGGCATGAACATACTTTATATACAGAGTTATGAAAAATTGTGCTGTGAAAGGGTAATTATGAATGTAATGCATTCCACTATTGTCATGTATGTAAGACATTAAAAAAAAAGAAATACTATGGTGATATGCCACATGTACAGATACGAATGTAAACACAACACTTTAAGTTTTACATTAGTTGGGCTGGGGCTGTAGCTCAGTAGTAGAGCGCTTGCTGAGCATGTGTGAGGCATTGGGTTCGATCCTTAGCAACACATAAAAATAAACAAATAAAATAAAGGCATTCTGTCCATTTACAACTAAAAATTTTTTTAATGTTTTGAATTAGTTCTTAGTATTGATTGAAGTGTAGACTGCTGAGCTCTTAGAATGTCAGAATATTTTTTACAATTCTAATTATGAACATGTCACAATAGTTATTTTCTAAAGTAGTATGACATTTGAAGGGTAATAACTGGTAAATGTAAAGCAGCAGTTGCCTTATTTTGATAAATACAATATAATTTCACTACATAAAAGTGCTTTGTCAGAGCTGGAAAGTAGATTCTGCTTATTACTGGCCAAAGTGTAAAAATAAATAGCTAGCAGAGAGGGTTGGTTTTCAATGTTCCCAACACAAAGAAGTGATGTGTTTGAGGTGATATACCAATTACCCTAATCTGATAATTAGTTTGTATGCATGTATTGAAATAGCACACTGTATGCCATATGTTGTACAATTTTATGTCAATTTAAAAAATTTAAACATTATAATGTAGGGGCTGGGGTATAGCTCAGTTGGTAGAGTGCTTGTCTTGAAAGCACAAGGCCCTGGGTTCAATCCCCAGCACCTCCCCCCCTCCAAAAAATATATATATATATAATGTAAAATAAAAGCATGTTAAATAGTACAGAATTGTATGTATTTTAAACTAAGATCCATACACATATGGAATATGAGATGAACACCATGTAGCCACTTTATTTTTTTAATACATTTTCATTGATTTTTAAAAAATAAATGATAGTGGAATGCATTACAATTCTTATTACATATATAGAGCATAATTTTTCATATCTCTCTATATAAAGTATGTTTGCACCAATTCATGTCTTCATACATGTACTTTGGATAATAATGTCCATCACATTCCACATCCTTGCTAATCCCCTGCC